TTGAAATTCTTTTGCATTACGAATGTATGGCCAAAATGATTGGAAAATACACTAAATTTAACTTAAAATACGGCCATCGAAAAAGATACAGCTATTAAAAACTGGGCATGAGCACCACGGGTTGAGACTACCGTTAAGGTAGGATGTCTCTATATCCACAGCTTCAGAATCATCTTCTTGTGACTCACTACTGCCAGAAGTGTTCTGAAATTCGCTTGCAGCTGGCGCATACACCTCCTCGAAGTACACACCCGTTCGTTTACTCCACCCTTGTGCGACCAATCGCGCTTTATATTTAACCGGTTCACAAAGGCTGCCAACTACTTTCATTCCCTACGGAAGATTGACAAGGTTCCATGTTTTCAAATCTCGATGTGAAGCATCCACTTATAACATTCTTCAAGTCTAAGTCAAAGTCTACAGAACCCTCACCAAACCCAAATTGTTACTTGTGCAGTCATATGAGAGGTACACCCCGAATCTATGTATGATTGTCCATCTTCATTCTTCGATCGTACACTTATGCACACTCCACTTTCTTCTTCTACTTGATTCACTTTATGCTTGGAGCTGCTCGGCTCACGGCCCGAATCGCCACCCTTTCTTCGTTGATCCTGATCCATTTGCGGCAGTCACGTCTGAAGTGCCCCTCCTTACCACAGTAAGGGCTCTACATTTTCGAAGCTCTAAAATAAACTCGAGTTTTGTTTCTCTCATACAAACGTGTTCAACGCTTCATTTCTATAACGCCTAGCTAGACTATCAACAAGAAACGAAAATGAAACAGAAGCACGCTTAGAAGGAAAGGCTGACTGTGGATCTTCTCGTCGTTGCTTTGCTTATCGCTTTCAATGTAACTAACGTCGAATTTCGAAACCTCATTATGGCTTTCACTCTCTTTCACGAATACTCTATCACCGCTCTTTCAATTTGTTTAAAATGCGTTATGTCCCGTTTTCGTTATTTTAAATATGAGGATAGAAGATAAATTAAACATATTACGTGTAATCTTCAAGTGTTTTCACGTGAGAAATGCTTTAAATATATATTTTCAATTTCCTTCATATACTATACGTCATGAAACCTCTGTTGATGTGTTTCATGAAAGACGAAACTATCAAAGTCGAGCGCTCTTTCGCTCGTACGTTTCACCGAAGCTTGAAAGAAAGACCAATGGAGCGACGGGAGAAAGAAAGACAAGCGATTGAACATTTGTTTGTGCACGCCGACTGAGGTTTTAGAATGCTGCGAAGCTATTCGACTTTAACAGAAAAAAAAAGTCAGCAGTCTCTTCGTCGCATCGAAATTGGTCGTTGGTCGATTGAATCTGATATTGTGACGCCCTGGTAATGACACTTTTGTTTTGCTTTTGTGCCAGTCTGCAGAGCTTGATGTGGCTGTTATGACTGCTGCTGACACCAGCCAGTGGTCTGTCACCGTTTCTCCAATTCCAGTCAGACGATTGTGGGGTAAGGTTTCATGGTCAACCATGCTGCCCTGCTCGGGCATCAGCAACGAAATCAAGGGTTTATGCATATATTATGTCACGCTTTAGGGGGGAGAGGGGGTCTAAGATTTTGTGACAAGCAATGCATTAGGTATAGGAAAAACGTCACGATTTAGGCTCCAGATCAATAATGAGCTTCCCTGAAATAAAATAATGTTCCCTTAACTTTTACGAAGCTGCTCAAATTTAAATAAATTTTCCAGATTTCAGAAAATTTCCAAGTTCCTTGTTTCTACGAATTTTTCTGAAGATCTATGAAGTTCCCAAAATTTCTACTAAGTTTCATCAATTTCTATGATGTTCCCTGAAGTTCTTAGAAGTCCTTGAAGTTTTACAAAGTTCCCAGAAGTTAGAAAAATCCTTTGACTCATGGCAAATTTGTAGACTCTGAAGACGTTCTTATTATGCCATCGATTAAATTCAGTGCTTTCCCGATTTTGTAAGCTCCCGATTTTGTCTACCCCTGAATTTGTCAGCTTTTTTCCCGATTTTGTCAGCCTGAAGATTTTGCTGAACTTTTTGGTTTGCAACAAGATTTTTTAAGCATTTCGCTCCAAATGACACTTAATTATTTTGTCGCAATAATAACAGAGGAAACTCAAATAAACCTCAATTATTGTAACACTACACAGGTGGCGGCTGCAATACAAGTTATGGGCAGATACCCCATTCAAGAAGAAGGTTCCGTGATCGCCAAAATTAACGGAATAATCATATGTAGTTGCTGCGCACTCGATGGACGATGGAGCAGTTCCACGAGACGCTGGTTGGACTTACCGAAGAGCTAGTTGGACTTACGAAGACCGGTAGTCATCGGAGGAGACTTCAGTGCTTAGAGCAACCGTAACGGTCGTTGTCATTTGCGGGACTATTTTAACAGCGCACAGCGCTCTCATTTTAGTTTAGTCACTCTTCTGCACACCGGTCGCTGCTATCGCGGTTATCAATTTACTCGCCGTAGTCCGTAGCGGTAGTGAGCATTTTGACATTTCTACGAATAGCAACCTTTCTCTCGCGCTGCTAAATTTGGTAACGCGCTTCTCACCGAGAAGCCGACTGCTATTTTAGTTACTCGTATGGCAACCCCCGATACGGTAGCTGCGCTATGATGAGGGCTGCTAAAATGAGTTGCGGTTGCTCTTAGGTAGTGGAATGGGGAAACTGATGTACCAACGCAAGAGGGCACATTCTGCTGGAAGCTCTGGCGAAGCTGGAAATCAGGCTGTTCAATAAAGGCACCACCAGCACTTTTTCGCAGAGATGGCCGGGAATCCATTATCGACGTCACTTTATGCGGACTGCAGTCCGTCGCTGGTGGAAAACATGAATGTGTGAAGGATACTATATGCCCATAGTGATCATCAGGCAATCCGATATGGCATCGGCTAACGGAATCCAGTGGCAGTAGACAGGAAGAGTTGACAGAATCGTTAGCGAGAGCATGTGACACGACCATGGGAAACTGGAGCTAAATAACATATGGCCTCCAGCTTACTGCTGCAACGAGGCAATTAGCACCCTCCACGCTAGTTGTCTCATAGCGAGAAGACGTGTTCAGAGAGCAAGAACAGAAGCAGACAGAGAGGAACGTACAGGAATGTTCCGAGCACATAAACGAGAGATAAAGCAGAGCAAGTCAAACTGTCAACTGGAGGTTGGTCGCGACGCTGCTGCCAACGACGTACACCGGGTCGTGATGACGAAGATCAGATGTCAAGTCATGCCCACTGAAATGTGCTTAGAGAACCTGAAAGTCATCGTGAAAGGACTTTTCTGTAAGCATGATCCAACGACCTGGCCATCTACATCGTATGGAGACGGAGAGGGAGATAACGACGAAGTCACCAACGAGCAACTCGTAGCAGTGCCTGCTGGATACACTCGGAAAACTCTTGGAGAGGATCATCCTAAACAGACTGACGAAATGCACTGAGAGTGATCAAGGATTGTCGGAGAGGCAGTTCGGATTTCGAAAAGGAAGAGCAAAAGTGGATGCAATTCGGACAGTTGTGGAAAGAGCCGAGAAGGCCTCGAAACAGAAGTGGATCGACGTCAAGAATGCGTTCAACAGCTCCAGCTGGGAGACCAACGCTACTTCCAGAACCGGGTTCTGATCTACGATCCAAATATGGGACAGAGATCGATTAGGATCGCGCTGGGAATTCCACAAGGCTCCATCCTTGGTCCAACGCTCTGGAACTTGATTTAAAACGGCGGTCTAACGCTGAAGCTACCCAAACGAGTTGAGATCGTTGGCTTTGCGGACGACGTCATCTTACGGTAACAGGCAAGACGCTGGAATAGATGGAAATGTTGGCGACCGAGGTGATTGACATCATTGGAAACCTGATGCATGGAGCGAAGCTGCAGATAGCCCACAACAAAAGCGAGATGGTATTAATCAGTAACTTTAAAGCGCTGCAGCGATCAGAAATTACCGTTGGGGAGCACGCAATAAACTAGAAGTTCGTGTTGAAATGCCTGGGAGTGATGGTCCACGACCGTTTGGCTTCAACAGCCACGTAGAACTACCCCTACGAGAAGGTGTCGAAGGCCATCAACGCGGTAGCCAGAATCATACCGAACTTCTCGGAACCAAGCAGTAGCAAGAGACGGCTCCTGGCTAGTGTATTTACGTTGATACTGAGATATGGAGGTTCAGCCTTCGTTGCAGCGATGAAAACCAAGCGGAATTTGAGGAAACCGAACAGTATGTACCGGCTCAACAAATCGTACGCAAACTTTTCGAGACGTTTGGTGTACCCTTTGTTGTAAGAATAGTAAACATTTATCAGTAATTCCATTAATAGTGGATAAATAATGGTTAAACTTGATTTCAAAATCATTTTGATGGTTAAAATATTGAAAAATAAAATTTCCCGATTTTGTCAGCTTCCCGGTTGTGTCAGCCTATAATTTCAGATGGGGCTGACAACAACCGGAAAAGTACTGTATCGATATAATATAATTTCTCAAAATTTAATCTTCTAGTCCAGTTAACATAAAGGACATTAATCAAAATAGTAACATCGAACTAGACAAGCTTGACAAAATACCGGTGATTCAAAAAAAACTCGCAAAATTCTGGGGGCACCCCCGTTAGCTACGTCAATGGGTAAAGGCTTGTCTTTCAATCAAAAAATGAGTGTGCAGGTACTCAAAGAGAAGTATGTTGAAGACACGTACAAAATTCCAGTTGGTAATAAAGATGAAGATGTGCCGTGTTCTTCCGTAAATTTTCCACGAGCTCAGAGAATTTCAAAATCAAACCTTCTCAATTTTCTCGGAAATCCTTGAACGTCGTATTAGACATGACAGATCAAATTCCGGCACGTGTGTCCCAGCTCTCGCATCGAATTGTATCGGAAGCTCCCCGGAGGCAGGGAAGTTCGGAAAGTTGAAATGGAAACATTTCCTAACATTGATTGTCGCACGCACAATTCTTTCTTTTCCTTTCCTGTGAATTATCGTTTTGCCTTTCTCACTCCCGCAGGGTCTATTCCCAACCTGAACAACATTATTGACCTTCCGACGCCGCAGCCTTCGCAAGAATCCCAACGCAACAGTTTCGTCGACCGGATACACGGCATCACGGATAAACTTCAATCGCTGGGCCATTTGGGACACGACACCGGTGACAGGCAGGGCAAAAGCGGTTAGTATGCGTGCGTTAGTTGTAGCGCTGTGTTCCATAATTTAATTGAAAAACACCTTCCAGGAACAGTGCACCCGATGCTGACGGTGACGCCGAGTCCGATGGGTGGTAGCAGCTCGATCCTGCCGGCACCCTTCCGTCGGTCTGCCGATTCGAGCCCGTCGCATAGCCACAGCCATAGTCATTCGCAGATTTCGCGGAACTCATCTCGCAAGAGCAACAATTCCGTTAACTGTCGGATAGATGGTAAGGAAATCAATCACGACGGCCACCAACCCAGGTTTTCATCATCACCCCCCATCGCCGTCCGTCGGTCGTCGTCGTCATCATCATCGTCAAAGTCATGATTTGGACGGGTTGTCTTGCTGATGGTTGGTTGCCGTCTCGGTGGTGTCATGTTATATGGCAGGTTACAGGCAACATGCAGTTTTCCCTGCGTTGGGAGTAGGGATGCCCAACGATTTTTTTAGATTTAATAAATATTCCCGCGATGAGCTGCTTCAATTGTAATGTAAATAAGGTGATGGATTTCATAGCGTTCTTAGTATCTACCAATGCTAAAATCTGGTCTTCAAAGCCTAACCCTACAAGTTATGGAAAATCATAGGATTCGCCATCTTCGCGCCCCCATGCTGTGACGTGTTGTCACGTCTGACAGCCTTTCACACAACCCACTCACGTTTGAATGGTATGGATTTTTGACTTGGCCTTCCTCAAACGACACCCAGCAGAGCCGTCATCGTTTCATTTCATAGGATTTCCTCTGCCCCTGTCGTCGTTTAGTTTGATACAACCGCCAACAATATTGACTGCCGATTGCTCAATCACCCAATCAACTGCTGCGAGATTTACATTCAATACCTACCAATCGTATAACAAGTGCTGATAAAGAAGCTTCATATCGACATTCAATATCGTGTGCGAAAAGATGTGTAATCTGCAAGTGACGAGCGCCTCCAAAAGAGAGCAAGTTTGATGGCTCGTCGTAACTTGTATTTCATTATGGCTCCAACCCACATCAACGAGCGGCAATCGAATCCAATCATAATGGTACGCCATGCCATCATCGCAGCGACGCAGGCACGCATTTCTCTGCGTATGACTTTTTGACGGCATGACGAGGATCGACGGATCGCATCCATCCATACCTATCACCGACCATATCAATATTCAGCATACAATGTAACAACTTTTTCTTCTATCTCCCCACCCCCGAACAGACATTCGATTGGTTCCCCGAAAGCAATCCTATTTGGATCCGATGCTATTCAAGGTGCCCCTGAAGGACGTCGTGTGCTATCTATCGCTGCTGGAGGCTGGCCGGCCGGAGGACAAGCTGGAGTGTGAGTATTCGATTGTCATCGTCTTTTTCTTCTTCTTCTTCTTCTGGCGATTACTATTATCTCGGTACCTACAAATGCGATGGACGGGATGGAGGGACAGCGGGTGTTCCGGGATGTTGTGAAAACAGGAAATTGGATCAGCCACGGTCCGATTTATGGTGGTATTTTGTAGCACCCAAATCCAGCACAGCAAAGTAATGCTGCAGGTTTGTTTTTCTCGGATAATCAGATGAAATTCGGTGCAAAGGAATTTTATCATCGGAAAGCTAGGTGACGAATCCAATCAGGATCGGTACGATGTAGGAAGGAAATCTAGATAGCATTTCGTTAAAGCATATTACACGGGGAAAAATCCGCTCCGAAATTCGTCAACCTCAAGTCATGAATTTCAGAATAAGTAAAATTTTAGTTTACGGAAGTACACCATGAATAAAAATCATGGAATCGTGAACATTATTCCGCAAAATAAACGTAACGCCTGCGTTACGGTGCACCGGACGCCAGCAAAGGCAATAAAACTCATAGAAACGTGAACTCTGTTCTGAAAACCATGATTTTCAGTTCTGGTCAACGTGATTTAAGTTCATGATTTGTGCTTGATATCGTGCACCTGTTCACGAAAATGGGAACATGGTAATTGGTAATATTGTTTTCAGTGATTTGACCATGGATAAATCAGTGGGCTATACTAGCTTGCGTTATTAAACCGCTAATTTAAACGTTTTGTGCCAAATTACTATTATGCCAAAAGGATCTTTACATGAAACCATTTTATACCGCATAACTGTATGCCAATCAGGTAACAGATCCTTTGTGAATTATGTTTTATAAATTTGCGCCTTCTAAAGATCTAAAAAATATTTGAAGACAAATTTAAAAATTTTAAATAAGAAAACTAAAGGGTGATACGGTCAAAATTTGGTCAATATCAACTTGACGTATTTCTTCAATTTTGCATTTAAAAAACCTGAACACCTCTCATTTTGAAGGTGTGTGTGTGTAGAATGTTGCTCCTATTTTGATTTTGGAAATCACTCTTCAGTTGTCAAAATGCCGTCCAAGCAAGAAGAGCAGCGTATCAAAATTTTGCACGCGCATCGCGAAAATCCGAGCTACTCGCACGCAAAGTTGGCAAAATCGCTAAAAGTTGCCAAATCAACCGTTACAAATGTAATTAAAGTGTTTGGGGAACGTTTGTCGACAGCCAGGAAGTCTGGATCGGGGGGAAATCGAAAACCGGAAGCCGCTGAGACGACAAAGAGAGTTGCCGGTAGTTTCAAGCGAAACCCTAACCTCTCTCTCCGAGATGCCGCAAATAAGCTGGGTGTATCGTCTACAACCGTGCATCGAGCCAAAAAACGAGCCGGACTATCGACTTACAAGAAGGTAGTGACTCCAAATCGCGATGATAAACAAAATACGACGGCCAAAGCGCGATCCCGGAGGCTGTACACGACGATGCTGACGAAGTTTGACTGCGTGGTAATGGACGACGAAACCTACGTCAAAGCCGACTACAAGCAGCTTCCGGGACAGGAGTTTTATACGGCAAAAGGAAGGGGAAAGGTAGCAGATGTTTTCAAGCACATGAAACTGTCAAAGTTCGCAAAGAAATATCTGGTTTGGCAAGCCATCTGTACCTGTGGCTTGAAAAGCAGCATTTTCATAGCTTCCGGGACTGTCAACCAAGAAATTTACGTGAAAGAGTGTTTGAATAAACGTCTGCTGCCTTTCCTGAAGAAACACGGTTGTTCCGTACTGTTTTGGCCGGATTTGGCATCTTGCCATTACGGTAAAAAGGCCATGGAGTGGTACGCCGCCAACAACGTGCAGGACAAGAACCCTCCCAACACGCCAGAGCTCCGCCCAATTGAGAAATACTGGGCTATTGTCAAGCGGAACCTAAAGAAGACCAAAAAAACTGCTAAGGGCGAGCAGCAGTTCAAGGCAAACTGGCTTTCTGCGGCGAAGAAGGTGGACAAGGTGGCTGTACAAAATCTGATGGCAGGGGTCAAGCGTTTTTTTCAATTCGGCAATTCGGATTTGGAAAAGCGGAAGCCTAACTGAATATTTTTCCTGAATTTTATACTAATTGAACTTGAAAAAGAAATTTAATTTGATTTTTTAAATAAACGATTTCACCGATTTACACGCGTTTTCCCTTGACCAAATTTTGACCGTATCACCCTTTAGAGCACAGCAACTGTTTTTTTAGATACACCCTAACTCAATTCAAGAAAATAGCTCTAATTTGGTCAGTTTAAGAGATACAAAAAAGTTCATTTTCACAAAACTGCTTTAAATTAGCTCAGTTAGAACTTTTCCGAAGAATGTATACCTTAATTTCTACAAACATAAAAATTTGATTTTTGATCTCAATGATTATAAAAACCACCCTAGAATTTATTGTCATAAAAATGAGGGCTTAACTATAAGGAACAACTTTGACTTTTAGTCCAAAGTTTCAATGTCAGGCTCAAAACATATCCTTCCACCTAAATCTGCATTCTAGACCACTGTGCACTATTTGACACTAAACTGACAAACTCCCATACAAAGTGACACCGAGGGGCGCTAATAATGTGATTTTTGCAAATGTAATCGTACTTATTTAAAATAATGCCAGTGTAACAAAATTGATGAAATTTTTGGATTGGTTTCCATTTTTAATGCAGATTACGAATATGCATTTACCTCATTACCTCTAAAGAACCCAATTGTCGAAATTGTTTTTTATCACTAAATGTTGTATTTAATTGAATCAACAATAAATAAGTAAATAACAGATATCAAATATTTCGTAAAAATAATTAAACACTTTTTTCGTCATTGAGAACAATACTCCTTTCTGGTGAATTGAGCGAACAGTAATGTTTATTTACTTTGCTCGTTTGGTTCAGCGTTTGACGGTTCGTTTGCACACTTAGAAATAACTAATTTTACACGTGACGTAATCCATCTTTGACATAAAGGATGAGACGTAAACAAACATGTCATGTAAAATTAAGTGCTCCGAGACTGAAAAGCTCGCTACTCGACGAAAAGTAAGTTTGATTGAGCTGAATTTCTCGGCTATTATGACTCAATTTTATGTCAAAATTGACGCTCGTATATGTCAGTCTCAGAACACCTAAATTTACATGATTTCTTCTAAGTGTGTGGTTCTTCCTGTTCCATTCTATGCGTGACTCTATTCAACGTCTCTGGTCTATGTTATTCTATCCATGGTGGGTATACACATGGTGATACAGCTTTGTCACTATATGGGCGAGGAGATCCAACATGGCTGAATCATGAATTTGACACATTAGAACACCTATATGTAGTCACCTTGATTCTGCCTTTTAATGGTGTTTATGCCAAATTACCATAATTAAGGGAAACAGCCCTATGGTTGCGGTACGTTAGCAGCGTTAGAAGCCTATTGTTGTGTATGGCCTCCATACACAACAATAGGCTTCTAACGCTGCTAACGTACCGCAACAATAGGGCTGTTCCCCCTACCATAATACGTTTTTTATTTTGTCATTAAGGTTACCATTTCCATGTTAGGGTGGTCAAAAAAATCGTTTTTTTTTCAAAAAATACTTTTTTCAAAAATTTATAACTTTTGAATCACATGGCCTAGTTTAATAATAAAAATAATATTCATGAGAATCAATATTTATTAGTTCTTCTTATTTTTCCAAGGAGGTGACCTGAGTTTTGCTCTCTGCCGTCAACGCAACTCCCTTTCTATTCCAAACGATTTTTAAACCAGAATGCCAGCCGACTGGTCTCCTTTTCGTACGATTTTTTCTTCTTCTCCGTCATTCCGATGTTTAGTAACGGGTGGCTCCGGGGACGTAATGTCCATTTCCTCTTCTCCAAGCCCAAAACCTTTCCCTCTGGATCTTTGTCGTTGCCATCCAACGGTGCACTCCCAGCCAGCACATCCGCGTCCAATTTCACTCTGTTATTCGCTCTATTATTTTTGTTGCACTTGCGTTTTTGTCCTTCGTTTGATTGTTCATTTTCTTGATTTCGGGCCATCCACTTGGGGCAGGAATTTATCGGGTGCCCCTCCATCTTGCATAAAAAACACATATTTTTGTTTCCCTCATAAAATATGGTTCCCATCCGATTGAGGAAATCGAGCGATGAGGGAATCTCCTTTCTCGCGTCTATATATACACTACCCGTCATAAGTGATGACTCGCGTGGAAAAGTATTGCAACACTCGTTTGAATATTGCATCACCCCCAAAAAGGTTTAGCATCACCCATGGAAAAGTTTAAATTTTCAGTAAAATTTGAACAAATTCACTGTATTACTGTTAAATTATTGTAGTAAACATTCAGAACGCCAGAGTTAGACTATGAAAGTGTTGCAGAAAGTGATGGCTCCCGGTAGAGAAGTTAGATATCACTATGGATAGTACTGAATCATTTCGAGCTAGAAATCATTTCAAATTTATTGATCTAGTAGATAAGTTTGAAATCAGTATGAAAAATAGTAAACCATTAAATATATATTACCCGCCATAAGAATAATATCGCTTCACTGAGAATTAGACTTCAAGGTCGTAGCGATTCTATACACAAAAGTTTGGTATGATTTGAATTTGAAGTGAATCAGAACTGAAAAGTTTTAAATCACTTGAATTTGATGTGAATCAGAGCTGAAAAGTTTGGAATCACTTGGATTTGATGTGAATCAGAGTGGAAAGCTTTAAATCGCTTGAAATCGATGTAAATCAGGACAAAAAAGTAAAGTATCACTTGAATTTCGACTGTTTACATTGTAAATTATTTTCTATCGGTGTCTGCACATTTCTCAAATTTTCCTGATAATTCTGAAGTGTGTTTTCCTTGATTTGTTTTCCGTGCTGAGCACCAGCGCTACCAACATCAGGGAGACGGCTCCTGCAACTGGACCCATCAACTCAAAGTACCGGGGACCAACGAGCTTACTTTCCTTCCAAAGGAAGGCAGATCAGAGATGCTATGCTTCAGAATATA